CAACGGCCTCGACAATTTCTGTAGTCCTATTCAGCCATTCGGTAACAACCATCGTTTTTCAGACACGTAAACTCTTCAAAAATCCCCAGTGGGGTCACTGCTGATGTATTTAATGTCGTAGAACAAAACGTCAATTACCTCTTAAATTTGTGTCAACCACAGACCTTATTTCGAGCTATTTTCCAAAACCCTATGGAAAAAATGCATTGCTTTTTGAGGAAGGAACCGGAAGTGCCAAAAATGCTAACTTACTTCCGGGTTTTACGACGCGTCACTGCGGTTCTCTATTGCTCCGTTTTCATGTTTTTTTAACATGTTTTTCACAAACATTTTCACACGCTAGGAGCATAGGAATAATTCAATTCGGTTCGTCATGATCTGTAGATGTGATTTGCCCCCGAGCACCCCTGGGTAAATTACCGTACAGCCAATCACAATGCGTACAATGCGTGACGTCATTGGTAAGAGACGGCCCCCGAACACATATGGTACCCCGAACACATCTGGTACCGACACCGGGCTCGGTAGAATTCCAAGTATGCTGGACATTGGAACAGTACTTCGGCGGCACTCGATGACGTAGTATGCTTGAAATAGTGGCTCTGGAGCAGCTTCACTCGAGATTGAGAAACACCCAGGGACTAACTTAAGAGAGAAATGTTCCTCACGTTTTGATCTAAAACTGAATTGAGTGAATACAGGACTTATTTCTGTTCAGTGGCCAGATACACAACTTTGAAATGAACAATAGGCCTACTGTAGCTGTGTGTCTTCTAAGTGTGTCAAAAGGCCACTGTCCTTTTGCCCATGTGGCTAAACACAGATCCAACAGCTTTATATTCAGGATAAAGTCAAATGAGACAAGTTTTAGCTTCAAAATGTGCTGAATCATCACATTTGATTAATAGATGGCAATGGCTAATTACAGCATTCCACAGTTTTTATTTAAACTGCTTCTCATAAAACACTTCACTGTCAAAAACTTCTGCTACTTTTCTTTCAGAAGTAAAAACTAGCAATGGGCTAGAAGAAGACACTTTTGGATCTTTTTTTACATTACATTACATTACTTTTCATTTAGCTGACGCTTTTATCCAAAGCGACTTACAATAAGTGCATTCGACCAAGAAGATACAAACTTGAAGAAAACAGAATCATATAAGTACATCAGGTTTCATAGAGCCAAAACATTTCAAGTGCTACTCAACTGGCTTTAGAAAAGCCAGCCCTTTATTAGTATATAAATGCTTTGTTAGTAATTCTATCGCCCGAAGTGGAGTCTAAAGAGATTAGTTTTCAGTCTCCCCCGGAAGATGTGCAAGCTATCTGCTGTCCTGATGTCAATGGGGAGCTCATTCCACCATTTTGGAGCCAGGATAGCAAACCCACGTGTTTTTGCTGATGGGAACTTGGGTCCCCCTCGCAGTGCGGGTGCAGCGAGCTGTTTGGCTGATGCAGAGCGGAGTGCACGTGCTGGGGTGTACGGTTTAACCATGTCCTGGATGTAGGAAGGGCCAGATCCATTCGCAGCATGGTACGGTAGTGCCAGTGTCTTGAAGTGGATTCTAGCAGTTACTGGAAGCCAGTGAAGGGAGCGGAGGAGCGGCGTGGTGTGGGAGAATTTAGGAAGGTTGAAGACCAGACGAGCCGCTGCATTCTGTATGAGCTGCAGAGGTCGGATGGCACATGCAGGTAGACCAGCCAGGAGGGAGTTGCAGTAGTCTAGGCGTGAGATGACCTATCCGAGAATAGATCTCTCGGAAACACTTTGAATAGGAAGTTAACCTTCATGAAGGCAGCATTTATTGCAGAGATGTTGGACTACGATGGACTAAACTATGTGTACAAATGGACTTGCGACTGAGTGTATCTTTGTATGTAAAATCAGATCCTGCAGGGTAACTTATAGCTGTGAGGTAAATGTGGTTACTGATACTGTTCAGTGCTGCAGTTCAACACTACAGCTAAGATTATAAACTGGGTAATCATTTATAAGCCTGTTTATAATAAATGACATTGTTCCTCTGAAAGTACTTTGGAGTGTGCTGGTGGAAAACATACAACACAATGACACTAAGGCACCTGACTCACTGACTGATATCACACTGCAGCTGTGGGCTGCCTCACTGCCCTCTGCATACCAAATCATAACACAAGGGAGAGAACAATGGTTCTTTTGATACTACTTGAATCTTTCAAACTCACAAAACAACATATCTAAGAGTCTGCGATATTTAGAGTTCTGAAGAGTTGCTGAATTAAGTTCAAGCACATCAGAAATGTCAAGTTATAAAGTAGTAAAATGACTTGTTATGGATGTGTTTCTCTGTAAATAGTTACATCAAGGCTTATTGTACATGTTCTTGCTACTTAGGATGTGTTTTGTGTTATATCGGGGATGTCATACTCATTTGAGATGATTGGCCACATAGAGTACAGCTCAATTTGATCTCAAATTTGATCTTGGCCGGACCAATCGAAATGTGCACAACTACCTACCAACACTTGCAAATGTTCCCCTTTTTGAAACGTAAAGCAGTAAAAGTACATTCTGAAAAGGTTAATGAGGCCATTTGCAAATCAGATGAACAGCCTGAGATATCTTTAGAGACGATATGTTGCACTTTTTCCACATTCACTACATTTGAGCAGTTCAGCATCATCTGTAATGTCCGTGTGCTCAACATTTGCAAGCCAAATGCAAAAAATGACTTTGTACTACATTTGGCTGTCCCAAGCTTCAATGAGATCTACACATCCTTTCCAGGCACATGGTTTCTGCAGCCTTCTGAATGCATGTCTTCTCAAACTGACCCTCAGGGTTTGGCTTTGATGCTGATGCTATACCATGAGCAACAAGGCAATCATGTAGCTAGCCTTCACTTAAAGCTTAAACTTAAAGCAACTTCTTGCTATATGTTTCCACAATGAGTCCGATAGTAGATCCCATTTTCTTTCTTTGAGAACTGAATGAGGCTGTGATATCACAAAGCACACTGGCTTGATTGATCCATTTGTCATTGCCAACCAGACAATATTGATCCTAGGTGTAAGCCTGTACACTAGCATGCATGGCCCAAAGAAGTGCATTCAGCATAGGGTCTACTACTCTTATTAGGAGAATTCAACCACCAGATAGAAATATCAGTGCATTTTGTTGCGCCTTGTGTTTGGCGCTCCTGTGTGTTTTGGAAAGTTCTCAGAGCCAAGCAGTGCAGGGTTACCTAGAATAAGTCTGTCCTTACTCGACCCCGAGCCTCTCCCCCCCTCTCTGCAGCTGCTCTGTGTGTGAACACACACCACACACAGGCTGCTGGGTCACTGCCAGCAGCTCTAATCTTGACCTGCTGCCAACTTGCACTAGTTAGTTGGGGTAAAATATCTCTTCATGTGTCCGCCTTTCTTTTTCTCTTTCCTCAAACCTCTGTCTTTCTCTCTCACATGTGCACACTCTGCCATGCATTTCCCACCCACTGTAAAATGAAGTCTCCTCCGTGTCCTAAAGTAACCTCTCTCAAAGCGAGCCTTTGTCTGTGTCTGCACAGGAGCAGTGAAGACAGTGTGAATGAAGAGGGAAATAAGAGTCCATATCTATTTAGATCTGCAGCTAAACCCAAACCCACTTTCTCTTTCCTATCAGATGCTTTTCCAGATTGTTTACTTGTACTGGTCCGGTCTCCCTCCCTCTCCCTCCCTCTCCCTCTCCTCTCCCTCCCATCCAGCCTCTCTCCCGCCCACTAGTTGCTTTCTGCTGAGTGTTGGTGGCGATAAAAAGAGCAAAGAGGAGACGGGAGACGGCCTAAACCAAACTTTTTTCTGTCGTTGCACTTTGGTTGTTGCATCTTCTAACCGTGCACTTTCACCCTCAAACGACAACCGTGAGTATCTGGACTGTGGCTTTGCAGAATCAAATAAACAGTCAATAATGTATTTGGGCAATGTGTAGAGGGGATGAGAATCGTCCGTCTACACACAGCTAGGGACAGTGGCGGACGTGCAGGAAACCATGACAGAGATCTGGCTGAAGATTAGTTGAACTGCACAAATATACAGCAGCTGTGTTGAGATAGGAAAATATGCTTTCTCAACAGTGTGTGGGGTTATATTTATTCTAGAAGCAAAGCAATATGTGGAGCTTCGAGAGATTGTTCCAAGAATGACATGCCCTTTTGGATAAAAGACAGTTTTCCTACTTAACATTGCAAACATGTTGTGAAATATGTTAGTCAAACACATTGAATGTTTCCGAGAGACGCCCGAAGGTCAGTTCGGACTCTAAAATCATGCCAATTTCCGCCATATTCACTTACTGTGTGTGTTTGTGATAAGCCACAGAACAACAGTTGAAAGGACAAGCACAGAGCAAAATGAGGGAGGCTGCTACTTTGATAGAAACTTCAGTCACAGTCTGAACATAAACTCTCCAGAATCAAATGCATTGTTAAAGCTCGGTCTTACGCCACAAAATCCTTTGCTGCACCGACAACAAAATGTATCTTGTACATTCACGAGGGGCACAATTTTTATTTTATATCTTAATGTTCTTAATTTAACGCTCATGCAAGTATCCATCCTTATAAAACCACCTGGTGACTATCAGAGTGACGTAGAGCCATGCCTTTATCAATGGAGCACCTACAATACAACTTATGTATCATATGTTCCTAAACAATCCAATACCACTTTTCCTGTCAGATACCTGATCTGTCGATAATGATAACAATATAATACATTATATAAGCTATTAGTTTGTAATGCTTCCCTTTACTTTATGAAATAGTCTAACATCATGCACAAACTGTAAAACTATTAACTTTCTCTCCCAAAGAAAGAAAGACCTAGTCCACAACATGACATAGCTATGCAATACTACTGTGTCTTTGTTTATTTCAACATTTGGTAGTGCAAATGTCTAAGTCTAAGTGTTTAGAATAACACAGGAATTATAATTCAAGTGCTAAATACCCAACACTTGTTTGCTAACAGATAGTTTATGATATCAGATATGCATACCTCTTTATATTGTCATGTGATCATATCTGAACAGTGTTGATCCTGCTAGGCTCCACGTGTAGCGGGTGCCTTTAAAACGTGATTTTCACTTGAGTGGGTGGGTTTTAATTGCATTGTATGATACACTGCAGTATATTTAGCAGTAAACGATAATGAGGTGTCCAGACAAAGAAGGTCTTTGGTATTCATCCAGAATACCTTAATAAAGCACTCCATGAGATGTCCTGATGCGTCGCTGTGAATAACACCTCACAGACAGACATGCCTTACCACTGATGGCTTTTCAAAGAGAATGGCTGATTCAAAGCTCACACTACTGCAACATAAAGCATAATGGGCCATTTAGAACATGTAAATGAGTGTGAGAGTGTGCTTAGCCTGTACAATAGTTCAGAAATAACTCTCTTAATGAACTGTTGGATGGGTTATTGCCGCCTTTAAGTGCTCTTCCGAGAGTCATAAATACAGCGTTCATTTCAGTGCTTTTGTCCTGCTAACATTTGATGTTACAGTAGCCACAAAATAATACCGCAGGTGGACTTGGCATTTACTGTCCAGGCATAATTACTGTAGTTAAGTATACTGTAGGTCAAAGAGACTGGAAAAATATACAAAATTAGCAGATTCAGAACTTTAAAATCCAGCACTTGGAATCTGATTTGAAATAATGGCTACATTACAAAAATGGCAAGGTCCTTACAAGGGTTCCTGTCATGAGAAAGAAAATCAAGCATCACTTTTACTTTTTATAATGATTTCTGACGACACCTGAAGGCAGCATAGTGCTGCACCATTTACAGCAGCTGACTTTAATTACCTTATTGGTGTTCAAAGATATATTTTATGAAGAAAAAAAACATCTTCCACACCATCTTAGATAAATGTATATATTTTTTTTGTCTTTGGTCAAAACAAGACAATAAATACTGATAAGATAACTAGCCACAGACGTTTCAAAGCAATGCCTGTGTTCCAATTTAAACTTGTATTTAACTGACCTGTTTCCAGATGCTCCATCTGACTGCAGGGCACGTGGGAAGCCTGGTGGCCAGGCGCGCGACTGTTGCCTTGACTACCAGCAGCGCAAGGATGGCTAGCCATGGTCACGGTAATATGTCACCCATGTGTTTTTATAACTTGGCCCGTTGGCCGGCAAGCAAAAAAGTATTTTTTGGATAAACTGTGAACAAATGAGGTGGTGATCAATACATTTAACCTGTTAAGCCCTGAGCCTGTTTTTCAGGTCTCAGGCTCGAAAATGACATTCCCAGAACAAATGGCCATATCTTAATTAATAATCTTTATTCTCACAGCAAGGTTACATCTGTGAGTTGGATGTAGAAGTGTCAGAATCAATATAGATGTTTTTATTTTAAATTAAATACAGATTGAACATAGTAAAAAAATGTTAATAATAGTGTCCGTCCAAAAGAAAACGTTACTTATAGTGAAAACCACCCTTGAATGATGGGATGGTAGACTAAAAGCTTTAGGAATACAAACTATAACATATAATAAGTACCCTGTATCAAGATTGATGCAAAACAAGTGAAATTTGACCTTTTTAGAGAGGTTTAGCAAAAATAAAACACTTCTGGGGTCATTTGGGTGCATTTTCCATTTCTCTGTCCCCCCTTGTTCGATTTTGATGATTGACATCTCTTTTTAACCGTTAGCGCCAATAGAATCGAGGGGAAGTTCCTCAAATCTATCTAAACATTACCCATTGGGGAGCTAGAATGCCCCTGAACCGGAAGCTGCAATACACTCTGGTGGCTACCATTAGCAGCTAATTTAAAATCTCCGATTTTTACATAAAAATTGAATTATGGATTATCAATACTTTTTTCAAAGTGACAGACACATTGGATTAACCTATGGATTAACCTTCAGCAGCATTTTTATTGTTTTAATGCCATTGAACACGACTTTTGATCAGATTGACAGCTAAGGTGAGACGATCTCCCGTGTTTGCTCCGTAATGCTACGTGTTGTGATGTCTGTGTTTGCTTCCCCTGTCGCGAGTTCTGATCGCTCAGTGATGATACTAATACCCCTAGAATCTGTGGAATCTCAGCTTTAATCGGATATCTTCTATGTGCAGTTACGATAAGTAATAAGGTTATTTTTACCTTGAGTTATTTGCTAAGTGCGTTAGCATTTTTTCGCTCAGGGGTCATTTAGACGCTTCTTATAAGACTTGTGTTTTGTCAGTTAGCTGAATTTCTTCCCGTTAATCTGGTATGACACATTAATAGGTTTTTAAATATTAAGAAGCCCTGAGACACAGTGTCGTGAAAAAAAACCCCGCAGCCCCCTCTACCGGGGGCTCTCTTGCTAAACAGGTTAATTATTTTCAGTGTCAAACAGAATTGCTAAACTACAGAAACAGAGAACATTACACAGGAAATTAGAAACATGAAACATTGCAGTTCACATAACATACCGGTAGATTAATGCATAAACAAATGTTTTGTTAGCATTCAGTTAGCATAACATTAGCTATCTTACCTATGTCTGGATGGCTGTAAAGTCTTCTTTGGTCCCATGGACCAAATATGTATAATTGTTTGTATTTCACTAACAACATTGATGGTCTTTTAAATCCCTAAGTACAGGTGTCGTTAATTAGCTTTATTTAGTAAAATAACGTTCCCCTGCCTCTGTTAAGAACATATTTTTCCGAGGGCATTTATAATTCCCCGCTGTCCCAGAATGCACTGCGTTCGGCCATATATGCCATACATAGACTTTTAATGATGAAAAGTACATTAACTTAAGTCCTGTTGGCCTAATTACAATTGCGATGTACACACTTGAGTCATCTCTTTTATGCCACTTCATACTTGTGTGTCACTTCATTTTATAGGGAATGTTCAACCTTTTTAAATTAAAGCCTTCTTGACAGCGTTAACTTGTTAATTTGCCTGAGTTAAGCCTTTAAGCTAACCTACTAAGATTTTTCCATACACAATATACAGAGTTTAAATATGATGTCTTGTCCTAAATTAAACAATCAAACAGTCAAGTTAAATATTAATTGTCATATATTTTGATAGAGAAAATATTAAGAAGAATGAAAATATTCATTTGCTCCAGTCCTATGCTAAAAAGTTCAAAAAGAGGCCCCACCTGAACCTACTACAATGGTTTTAAATCAACCTTTAACAAAGATTGTACAATATCTAATACAACAGTGAACATGTTCTGCATAAAATACTTAATTTTACTAATAATTTTTACTGAATTAATACTTTTAATGCTGGACTTTCATTTGAAACAGTATTTTCATAGTGTGATATTAATATTTTTACATCATTTTTCTTTAACCACTGAATACAATCACATTAAATTAATCTGGATTAACTAGTCATTCACTAAATGTTCACTTTATGTAACTTTCCCCCAGTATTCAGAGGGCCTATGTACCAGATCAGGAGGCCTCAGTCTGAAGTGACTTCAAACCAGCAGATGGCACTGCTGCATCACGAAATGTACACAGATGTGTTTAAACAACATGTTATAAATGTTCTCTTGACTGTACGTTGTTGCAGCAGTTTGGTTCCACACGTGTCTCTGTCCATCCATCCAGAGGTGTCAGAGGCAGTGGACATGTCTAAGCCGATGTACTGGGACCGTCGGGAAATACCCCTTCCTGATAAACGCTACAAAGACATCCTGACCCCTGCTGACAAGAGCCTGAAGGAGAAGGAGAAGGGACCCTGGGGCCAGCTGAGCAACGAGGAGAAGCTGGCCTGTAGGTTCTTATACACGCAGGCAGAAAACACACACTACAACAAGCTTAAAACATGCTTCAAATTAATAAATACGCTCGACAAACTCTGTGCAGCATCTATGTGTGATAATTGCAATGTCTTTATTAAATAAAATGCAGTATCTTTGCTCAATTCAATACTCAGAGACCACAATTCATTTAAGGCTAAAAAAATAAAATAATCCAAGTACATTTACAGAAGTAGTCCAGTATTCAAATGTTATGCTGGATTCTACTTCTACTCCACATGGTAGTGGATTACTGTACTTTTTACTCCATCAATCTGAACTAGAGAGGAGCGAGAACAGTATCCCTGTCGAATTCAGACAGGAAGTAGAACCAGAGTTTTGCAGCCCGACGTGACAGACACCACCGTCCATTCAAACTTTAGCTCCAAGTCACTAAATACATGCATTCGTGCACACAATACAGGACACAAGGAAGGATAACTTTTCTATTTCTCCTGACCTTCATCTTCCCCGCCCCCCACCCTGCAGTGTATCGGCTCTCCTTCTGTCAGACCTACCCAGAGATGAACCAGTCGTCATCAGAGTGGAAGACTGTGGTGGCCGGGGTGTTGTACTGCATAGGCCTGACCGGCCTGGTGATCATTTGGCAGACAGCCTACGGTAAATCTGCCTCACACTGTGAAACTCTCCTGTCTCTTATAGATTAGACAGTAATCATGCAGGAGGCTGAGAACAGACACCATTTCTGCCTGAACATCACACGCGGGGTAAACGTCTCTTGCCAGCGATCTTTTTCACAGCAGACTTTCTCACTGATCACAGCCATCACTAACAGAATTAGTGATGGCTCTGTTCCTTTAAAGTATCAGAGAGCCATACAGGTCAGGCAGTATGAACGAAACCAGAGCCCGGTAAGTGGACTTCAGGCTTTATGCGTTACACCAGCATTTGACAGGTCAGAGTGTCTGCTGTGACAAAGGGAAGCCCTGAGAGGCAAGTGAGAATAAAAGATGGTGGTGACACATTATCCTAGTCAGATCTAAACCGTTTTCTTTCCCTTTATGACTTCACAACAGGTGGAAAAGTTTTTGCTTGTATAATTGTTTTAGTTCCTGTCATGTCATCTGGAAAACAGAACGGGAAAAGTTTTGCCTGGTGAAAAAACATGTATTATCATGTCAGGATAACTGTTGTGTTTGTTGTTGTAATATGCATTTGGACCATACACTGCTTAAGTGCACCACTACCCTTCTAAATATTACAAAACATATCTTTCCAAAAACTGATAAGAACAAAATAATATACATTTCTAGCCATAGGAAGACGTGACTGTAAGGTTTTATAATTTGCCAACGAACAATATATTTACATTGTGTTTGGAGTGCATGAAGAAAGGTATACTCACATGGATTATATTCCTAAATATAACATTGGTTAGTGGAGAACTTCACCCTCTTGTGGCCCAAATTAGTATTACAACAACAACAACAACAGGTACAAAAAAGAAATGTAGGAAGTTAAAGTAATGAACCTTGAAATATAGCTTTAATCTGTTCTTAAGTCATACACACAGGATTGAAAACAATTGAGATTCAATATGTTGAGTGTACTGCAGAGTCCATATACATATTAATTAGGGCCGGGACTTTAACGCGTTAATTAAGATTAATTAATTACACAACAATTAACGCGTTAAAAAAATTAACGCATTTTAATCGCACTTATAATTAATTAATCTTAATTAACGCGTTAAAGTCCCGGCCCTAATTAATATGNCATAATAAATAGTTCAACATAAAGTGTACTGTACCATTTAAAATAAAATAAAAAAGTGCCAGTGATTGACCTCAATCCCTCCTATTCTTCCAATATCCTGATGAAAAATAAAATCTCTCTGTTGCATAGGCCACTGTTTGATCAACGCGAATTGGGTGTGGGTCCTTGTACTCCGAGTCGGGCTAACGTCTACGCTAGCTTCCACGCTAGCTGCTATATGTTTTGCATTGAGGTGATACTTGAGGCTTGATGTGCTGCGGTGATATGCAAATTCCTTTTTGCATAATTTGCAAACAACCGTGCTCTTATTGACGCTTCCATCCGTCCGTTTTTTAAAACAAAATGTCCCATCCACGGGGCCAACCAAAGCGGTCTCATCAGCTTCTTCGTTCACGTTCGACTATTGTTCACTGTGGTTTGTTGTTGTCTGAAGTCATGAACGTTAGTTGGTGCTCCAGTATAATCGGTACCCCTGAAACTCATCCAGTGAGAAACATTCCGCGGTACAAAAATAAGTGCGATTAAAATGCGTTAATTGTTTTAACGCGTTAATTTTTGTGTAATTAATTAATCTTAATTAACGCGTTAAAGTCCCGGCCCTAATTAATATATATATATAAAATAATGTTTTATACTACATGATTGCCTCTGCATTGGATTATTATCGGATAGGGTGATAACTTCATAACTATAGAATGCAATTCCTGAAGAAATTGCTAGTGGGAATGCTTTATGCTGAAAAGCTGACGCTAAACTGCTGTGCTGAAATGTAATGTGTAAAAAGAAAGTGAAGAATTTTGATTGAAATGATACATGAACACTGGGGGGCTTGAATGTGTGATGAGAGAAGAAAAGAAAGTAAAAAGGCTTAGAAAAGCAGCAGAATATTTGAACTGCAAACTTTTGAACTAACTTGATGGTGAATGATCTGTCGCCATGCCAACGGCATTTGATGACATCCTATAATACGCTTAGATGCGTTGATGGCTGCATCGTTACCAAACCTGTGAAGTTTTGGGGCGTTCGGAGCAGTTTCACTGAAGTTATGAGAAAACCGTGTTTCATGGCGAGCATTGTGTTGCCATGGCAAACAGCATTTGAAGAAATCTCAAAACTGTCCCGTAGATGTCTTCACGGCTAGACTGTTAGCATACATGTGAAGTTTGAGCACTTTTTGAACATTTTCACAGGAGTTATAGCGACATTGTCTTTTATTGCGAGGGCTGCATTTCCATGGAAACGGCATATGATGAAACCCCATAATTGACGTAGAGCTGTTGAGGGCTGGACCGTTAACATTTATCTGAAGTGTGGTGCTGTTTTGACCCTTTTCATAGGCGTTACGACAACATCGTGTTTTATGGCCATGGAAACGGCATACGGTGAGATGTCAGATTTGACGTAAAGCTGTTGAGGCATTCACCGGTGATACACAAGCAAAGTTTTGGGGACGATCGGACCGTGTCCAATGGAGTTACAGCGACGTCGTGTTTTATGGCGAGGGATGCGTTTCCATTGAAATGGCATATGATGACACCCAATAAT